GTAAAGGCTTTACAAATCTATTTCCTCCAGGGTAGCATGGGGTGAAGAATTATCAATGATGTGGTAATAATAAGCAAATATATTCACTTTTTTAATTATTTAAATGTAATGTAATTATCTTATATGATTCATCTTGACGCACTAAAGCAGTACAAAACGTGATCTTAAATAACCGCAACATGATCGGCTTGACCGCCTTAAGGGGTATAGGCTCTATACTCACTTGATGTTAACATGAAAGTATGGCCTTTTGAAGAGCACTGATTAATGAAACTAATAATATTTGTACCACAATACTGAAAGGGCCAAGATGGATTAGTTGAGCGGACGAGATTTGGTGGTTAGTGTAGGACAATTGCATGGATCAGGCTAGTGACATTTTTGAACATGCTGAATAGAATCTTGTGTCATTGTTTCCCAATAGTAACCTTTTGATATTTTTCTTTCTTTGTAGGATGATTTGCGTACCCCACATAATCTCTTATGTATGTCAAACGTTATGGGTGCTTCAGCTTGCCTGAGACAGTGCAAACATATTTGTTCACATGAACAATGTTACAGATTACTATTTACATATGCTAATGAAGGCTCTTTTTTGATTTGAATAGCTAAAGAAGGCTCATCAAGAAGCTTGTCCTAGTGCATGTATTCTGCTATAAGTAGTCACCTTTAATTAGCCTCTTCATCAGTCATCATGGAAAATAAGTTTATTTTTGAAGTGCCCAAAATCTTATTTTGGATCATTTAAACCATATTTCATATTTTCAATATGCATCAACTTCGCCATTATGCCAATGGGGCAGCTTGAAAGAATAACATCTTGAATATACTACAATAAATTTATGGCCTGTTAATAGTGGAAATAGCTTGGTTTAAGAACCTTTCAAGTGCTTGCAATTTTGTGATTATTTATGAATTTTTCAAACATTTTAGTCCGGTTAATCACCATATGAATGGCTAACTCCAGGCTAGTGATAAAAGTGTCGCTCTCGTTTCCATTATCTGTATGGCACCATAAAAGATTGTGATAGTAGCACATTTTGTATCCTTTCAGGAGATGAATTTGAGGCCTATATCAAATGTACTTTTTGGAAGTTTTTTTGGTTCAATAGTCTTTACAGAGGAATTACCTTAAAAAATAGCCCATAAATTGACATCACTTCTTTCTCCACATGGAAGATTTTCTTGTTGAGTAGATTATCATCAAGCTGAGAATCTACAGGAACACAGTGTGCTGCTAGAAATTTAGTAAGATCCTATCCTTTAATAGCCAGTTGAATAGCGAAGGAAATGTCAATCTGCAAAAGGATTATAGCCTTCCTTGCTAAGCGCCATGAAGGTGTAGGATGAGCTTTCATGTACTATAATGGGTTAAACCTTAAAATTAGGCTGATCATGCTTGTTGTCATATTTGTAATTGCAAAAATCAGCACCAAGCAGTATTTTTTTATTATAATATATTTTAAGTCAGTTTAAATAATTCATCGACTAAGATAATACATGGCATTTGCTATTCAGGCACTTGAACCTGCTTGGATCACAGCTAGACAAATAGAAGCAGGGCGAAGAGCAATGACACGATATGCACGTCGTGGTGGAAAGATATGGGTACGTATCTTTCCCGACAAACCTGTTACTGTAAGACCTACAGAAACACGTATGGGTTCCGGCAAAGGATCCCCCGAATATTGGGTATCCGTTGTTAAACCGGGCCGAATAATTTATGAAATGAGTGGAGTATCTGAAGCTGTAGCCAAAGCTGCTATGGAAATAGCTGCATGCAAAATGCCTATACGAACTCAATTTGTTATTTCAGGATAGGTAAACAAAAGTAAAAGAAGAAAAGGAGTATTAAGAATCCATTATTGATGAGCATGGGCACCAAGAGATTCTTTTTGCAATTATAGGTGGCGAAATTAAGTACCCATTTTATGCTGCTAAATGCCTCTTTGCAGCTCTTATTCCAAATCTAGTGAGCATTTTTGTTTGCAAGTGTTGCAAATAGCTCACATCCGTGAGAACAAGTTTGATATGAAACATCTCAAAAATGCTAATCTCATTTATAAGGATCTTAATTGTTTACTTGAATGTTTATATCACTATCATTCTTAGAATCGAATTCAATGTATACTCGAGCTGTAGGAAGCTTATGAAGGTCTAATCTCTGCAAGTTTGTTCTTGATTTCTACCTTTGCCCTCACCTTCGCCCCACTTAGCCATTCTGCCTCATTTTTTTGGAGAGTGGAAGAATAATGTTGGTGTCAATTTCTTATATCTTTGTGGGATAGGGGTTGTTATATCCCCAGCGGATAACTCTCAAATTTATCATGAAACCCATTTGATTAACTGAAATCAGTTGAATATTACTTCGATTACAACACTTAGTACCAATGTGCATATACTTCATGCACTAGTAGAACGTTCATTTAGCAAGGGCCTGTTAGCCCCGTGAGCCTCAAGACATCATTTTAATTTTGATGATAACAAATATATACCTGAATATTTATGTGTCTTCTAAGTATTCTTGGTAGGCTGAAATTATAGTAGGTTAATTTCACACAATCTACAAGTTATGCAGATGCATTATAGTCTGATGACTGCAATAAATATGGAATTTTTTTTTTTGGGTCAAACTAAGTGTAATTGAGCTCGGCATGTGTTTCAAGATTAATTTAGATCTGTTGTGATTTTGAAGTCCATATGATGTCTTATGCTTGTTCTAGACAATAAGTTTACAAAACTAGCTCACATGTTACAATTAAAATTACGTATTCTAAATTTGATGCACAATATTTTGATATATTAAATATTATTTGAATTTTGCTTGCACAATGTTGGCAACTTTTCATATCTTCTATTTTCCCTCAATCCTTTATTTATACTTTGCTAAAAAAAATGCTGCTACGATTTTCTCTACGGCTGGCCATATTTTGAATTAATCTCTTTCGTTAATTTAAGTTATAATTGATGCACATATTGGCTGGTTGGATTTGCTTTAAATTTTGAATTCTTAAACCTTCCCTAGTTTTATCTAAAATAAATTAAAAATAATTCAAATTATCCATGAAATTTCATATTGTGCGTCCAATGTTCACAGAAGGGACGATTAATCGTCTGCGTGAAACTCGAAGTTTTCATATCGTGCTTGATCATAAACCCTATGTATTTAGGGTTGTTGCTTGTTACAAGGAGGAAGGAAGGTCCATTGAGTGGTTGTTACAAAAGAGGAGTAAGCTATTGTTGTTGCGATAAGATTGAGGTTCGACGGCGGTTGCTGCTACAGCGACCGCTGTTATTGATAGAAAGTTGTGATGGCAACAAGGTGAACAACAAAGGGTTTGTATGGAGAATTCAGCTAAGAAGGGCCTGCAACAGAAATGAATCGGGTTGCAAGGTAGATCCGACTACAAAAGATGATAATGGGGAAGGCTTGCAGGAATAATCTAGTGAAAGGAGGGCTAGCAACTGGGATTTTTGGCTCAGGAAAGACCAGGGGACGCAATCCTTTGGACTTTTGTCCTGCACTTCTGCATCTATGAGAAGCTTGAAATTACCCCCAGGTCAGGGTCCTGTACTCTTCTTCTTCGGCGTCTCTTTCTGAAATGACATCGTCTCAGTATCGTGATTGTCGCGGTGCTCTTGTAGAATCCTCTGGTGCTGTCGCCTTTGTCGATCTTCTTCCTTTGTTTCTTATCCTTCTTCATATGGGCTAGCTCCATCATTTCCCTCAATCCTCATAGCATCAAGGAGCGGATGGCTGCTCGTATGTGAGGTTTTAGGTCTTTTAAGAATTTCCCTTCCAGTCCTGCTACAGAACCCTCAACCTTCCTGACAAGAGCTCGAACTTCTCCCAACATTCGATAACCGTCCCATTCTGAGTCAAAGCATAGAATTGCTCGTGTAGGTCTCCTTCTAAAATGTCTGAAAAACGCTCCAACAAGCAATCCTTAAACTCCTCTATGAGTGCATCAGTTACCTTGCCTCCATCCACTGGAACCAAGGTAAAACCTTCCCCTACAAGAATAATCCCACTGCCATGAGTTTTTCTTCCTCAGTCAACCTGTTGATTGCAAAGTAACGCTCCACCTGATACACCCATCCATGTGCATCCTCTCCTTTGAAGATTGACATCTTCAGTTTCCCGAACTTTACACCTCCACCCCAACTTTCTCCCCCCAGAATTTTTTCTATATATTTATGGCTAAACTCCCTATTGCGGTCATAAGCATATCCCACTTTTGATTCCCTCCTTACTCCATCATACCCTTTTGTGCCCCTTCCTCCATCCCTTCTCCAATTCTTGGCCCAACTCCCTCCATCGGAAGTCTTCACTCCCCCTCCTCTCAGAGTTCTAGGGGGACGCTCTTGTAGGTAGATGATGTCTTCTTCATTTTTTTTTTCGCTCGATCTTCTTCCCTTTTGACCTGGCCAAGGATTCCCTGACTGAATGTTGGTTAGGGTTTGCAAATGGAGCGGTCGACACGGCCTTGGATTGCATCTCCTTGGGCTTTTTCATCATCTACTGCATTTCTCTTATGCCTTCAAATTCATCATTCATTTGACTTTCAATAGAAGAAAATATGTCCTCAATGGTAGCTAACCTTTCTTATATTTCTGGTCAGATTTGCTCTATCTCTCCTAGCACGTCAACTTTCATTACTGTCATCCCACCATGATCTATGCTTTGATCCCAATTTGATACTCCTTGATACCAAAATCAGCGAACAAAACACAACAAAATGACAATAGATAGGTGGAAGAACACAATCAAGGCTGCTCTTACGAAAATCAAAGGAAAACAAACAAGATATAAGGTTGGTCTACTTTTTGAGAGGTAGATTGTCTCTCTCTCATACTCTAAACGTTGCTAGGAACATCACACGATGAAAGAAAACATATGCTGAAAAAATAATGACAGATGACTTATTTTTACCTTTTTTTTAATTAAATTTTATTTCTTCCTTTTTTTAACAAATTTTAGTTCTTGTTTCTTCTGTCAGGAAGGCGTCCAACAACTTGTTCTAGGGTTGTATATCATCAGAGGAGATAACATGTAAGCCATGCTAATGTTGTGCACTTTATAATTAATAATTTAAGCTAAGGTTCTCGTGATTTGAATTTGAAATTTGTCCAGAAGCGTGGTTGGAGAACTAGATGAAGAACTAGACGCTAATCTAGATTTGTCTAAACTGAGGGCTCACCCTCTCAAGCCTGTCATTCATTGAAGCCAAAGCCAAGTTAGTAATGGAATGTTTGTTGGATTCATTTCTTCTTTATATGGATCAATTATGTATTTACAATTAATCCTTGATGTTTTTTAGTTACCAGAAAGTTGAGCTTAAGTAGACTTTAGAGGTCTGCAATTTTTTTTTTTTTGTGGGGTGCCGGTGGGTTTATCACTTAATTCTCATGTGTTTACATATCTAACGTCTAAATTTTCATATTACTTTGATGTCATAAAATTATGCATTAAAATTTATATTTCACTTTGAAAAAAAAAATGAGATGTGATGTTGAAGATTTGAGTCTTTTACATATTAAATATGAATGTTTAGATGTTAAATATATAAATATATAAAAATTGTGTAACAAGTATGTAAAAACACTTTCTTTTTCCTTTGGTGAGAAGCATTTGTGTACATTAAAATGTGTCTGCATTAATCTTAAAGAGATCTAGCGCTCTAAGAAGGAAGAGTACAACGAAGGTTGACCCACTATCAAGAGATTGGGAGATTCGCTTGACCGATCAAGCGAAGTCAAACGAGTTAGCAAATGAGGCCAAAGCTAACCATACCATGAAGCTAATAAGAAGATAACTGAATTATCCAAGAATTGGTCCTTCTCGACCGAAAGCAGGACAAAAAAGCATTTGAGCTAACCACTACTTGAAGGACGACCCTATACGATAGACTGCTCTCCATTAGAATCGTTCTAAGAGAAGATCTAGTTCCACGGTATTTTCAACCATCTAGCGGACGTTCTAAAGGCTCCTAATTAGGGATCAAGGATTGATAGTCCGGCTAGTACATAGATCGACTCATCCCGACCAAGCTCAATCGATCGAGCTGGTCCTGTCGACCTGAAACTAAGTTTATCCTACCGAGTCAGCAATTAGTCGAACAATAAGCCCATGTATGTAAAATACTAGAATTACACTAGTATGGTCCTCTTCTAAATAAGGGCAAATATGTGATGTCATCATTGCACCCTTGCCATTAAAAATAAGGAAAATATTTATGAATAAAATATAATTTATTACTATTCATTATTGTTCACTCATCTCTCTCCTTACATTATTCCTTAAGTGTGATTCACAGACAAATTTGGATTCAGCATCTTAAAAGGTGCGATGAATGTGAATTATGCCACAAACAAAAAGAAGAGTAGCCCAAGGAGAAGAACCTCATAACAGAGGCTCTTAACCAGGGATCAAGGATTGATATTAAGGCTAAATCACTAGATCGGCCCATTCCGACCATGCTCGACCGACTAAGCTAATCCCATTGATCTTAAACTAAGCTTAGCTGTCTGAGCCAGAAAGTAGCTGAATAATAAGACCATGCATATAAAATACAAGAAATAACCTAGCATGTACCTCTTCCAAGATGGGGCAAAAATATAATGTCATCATTTTACCCTCTCACTTATAAATAGGAGAAACATTTATAAATAAGATATGATTGATTATTGTTCATTACCGTTAACTCTTCTCTTCATCCCTCCTTACACTATTCCTTTTGTGTGATTTACGGACATTTAACTTTAGCATCCTAAAAAATGTGATGGGCTTGGATCATGCCACAAACAAGAAGATGAGTTGCCCGAGGAGAAGAATCGCATAACAAAGACGCTGCTAACATAGAGTGCACAAGAGAATTCATGGCCCAACAAATCCAGAAATTGAAGGATCACGTCTGAGAGGTCTAATATCCAGCTTGGGTATCAAACACTATCATGGTGCATAAATTAAATGATAAATGGATGATGTGTGTGGATCTCACCAATTTGAGCATCGCTTACCCAAAGGACAGTTACCCCTTGTCACGGATTCACACACTCATATAGGCATCAATCGTCTATTATGTGGTGAGCTTTCTCGATGCCTTCTTTAGCTATCATTAGGTCAAGATGCATCCAACCGATGTTGAAAAGACTACATTCATTGCAAGTGAGGAGGTGTTTTACTATATTTTAATGCACTTTGAGCTGAAAAATGTCAATGTTACTTATTAGTGCATGATTAATGTTATGTTTGCAAAATAGAAACAAAAAAATATTGAAGTGTATGCGGATGATATCTTAGTAAATAGTAAAACTTCCAAGCAACATATGAAAGATTTAAGAGAGACCTTAAAAAATTTAAGAAAGTTTAATATGAATCTTAATCCTCTCAAGTGTACATTCGGAGCATATACAAACAAATTCTTTGGCTATCTCCTAACCCTATAGGGAATAAAGCTAACCCGAAAAAGTTGATTGGTATGTAGTCTCCTCACAACCCCAAGAAGGTCCAAAAATTGATTGGTTGAATCACGGTCCTGAGCTTGTTCATCTCAAAATTAGGTGACAAGTGCGCTACTTTACTCAAAATATTGAGGCGAGTAAAGAATTTCGTTAACTCGGATGAATGTGAGCAAGCATTCAGAAAATTGAAAAACTTCCTAGCATTACCACCACCATTCAAATCCCAAAGTCGAATGAAGAACTCTTCTTGTACTTAGGAGTCGGGCCCAAGGCCATAACTATATTTTAATGGGTGAGAAGCAAGGGAAGCAACTCCCAGTTTATTATGTCAGTGGAGTTCTCCAAGTAACCAGGCTCAGGTATTCAATTATAGTAAAATTAACATTCTCTCCCTATTTCTGCCCGCAAACTCCATCCATGCTTACAAACTCATCTGGTCAAGATCATCACCAACTACCTACTCAAATTTGTCCTCACCCGGCCGGAACACTCCGGTCGGCTTCTCAAATGGGGGGTAAATGTTAATGAATTTGATCTCTTGTACGTGCCCTAGACCTCTATCAAGGCTCAAGTCACAGTCGACTTTCTGACCGGCTTTTTAAAATCGAGCGAACTAGACAAAGAAACGATGACTGATGGTCATACCTGGGTAGTGCATATCTATGAAGCGTCTAATCAAACTAGAACGGGACTCAGCCTCACTCTAACAAATCTGACCGAAGATCATCTGTACCACTTGATAGAAGTGGGATTTAAAGTCATCAACAATCAAGTAGACTTCTGGTAAGATCTGACTCGTAGTTGGTGGTCAATCAGGTAAATGTGTAATTTAAATTTAGAGAAGAGATGATGATCAAATACCTTGCCAAAGCCAAGACGGTGATAGGGAAGTTCGAAGGCTTCAAGATTGAACACATCTCCCTAGAGGACAACTAGGCAGAAGACCTCCTATCTAAAAGTGCATCTGCTCGAGGCAGGGGATGCCCCAAAAACTCATTCAACCAACCATAGAGGAAGCTAAGGTGATGGAGCTTAAAGTCGAAGGATCTAAGACTTGGATAAATCCTTACATCATTTTCTTTAAAACTAAGAGTCTCGAAAGAAGTAACCGACTTGAATCGCTTCAAGATTAAGTAGTCCAATACCTTCTGATTGAGGGGAAACTTTTTTGAATGTCATTCACCTCATTATACTTGAGATGCATCAAAGAAGACCAGACTAAAGATGCCCTCCTAGAAGTACATTCAGAAGGATTTGAAGGCCACTCCAGAGGGAAGACTTTAGCACACCAAGTACAACAACTAGGATATTTTTAGCTGACACTACAGAATGATGCCGAGTGATTCTCAACAAGATGTGAATAATATTAGAAATATGTGAAAGTTTCTGGTTGTTATTCCTAAGATTACTTGTTTAAGTGGATTGAGGCTAAGGCACTTGCTCGGATCACCGCAGAAGTCATTCGAAATTTCATCTGGACTGATTGATCTGTCAATATGGGCTACCACTTGTAATTATCTTAGACAACATAATGCAATTTACCATCCATAGGGCTAAGGTTTTTTGTCAGAGTCAAGAGATCAACTTGAAGTTTGCATATCCACCATGCTTGAACAAATGGACAGGCCGAGACAACCAACAAAATCACCTTGAACTTGCTAACGGAAATGGTTGAGGTTGTAAGGGAAAATGGTTTGAGGTTCTATTGTCTGTTCTTTGGGCAGTTTGAAGGACACCTTCTACAATGATTGGACAAACCTCTTTAATGTTGTCATACGAGATGGAGACAATGTTTTCGGTTGAGTATAAATATCACAATCAGAGAGTCGTGGCAGCCTTGGCATTCGATGAAGCAAGCTTAACCAAGTGGCAGAAAGCCAATGACGAAGGAGTGACTCTCGCACTTGACCCTTCTGAGGAGAAACAAGCCGACTCAACTCTCAGTCAAGAAGTAGTGAAGAGACGAACAACTCGGTACTACAACAAGCATGTTTGAGAGAAGACTTGTCGTCGAGGATCTTATGCTGAAAAATGTTGACCTAGCCGCTTGATGACAAGCCGTGAGGAAGTTTGACCAAACGTGGACCAGACCATTCATCATCGATGAGCGGGTCGCCCCCATAGTGTATAAGCTAAAGAACTACATGGGAAAGGGAGTGCCTCGAATATGGAGTGGAGATGATTTGAACATATTCTTTCCCTGATAGATGAAAAACGTATAATTATTCATACCCTTGTACCTTATTATCAATTTCATAAAAAAGAAAAGGTAAAATTCTTTCTAATTATGCATATGACCCTAGGGCTCGCTGACACTTGGGGAACTTGGAAAGTTTATGCAATGGATTGTTGAGTCTAATCGATACTCGTGGAACTCAAACCGACTCGCTTATAGTTGTTTGATCCGACCAGCAAAATCGACAATGATGGGTACGCCTGATCGAAAAAAAACTCCTAAAAATTTGATAATGATGGGTAACCTCCGATTGGTAAAGTCTTCTAAAAAATTTAAAATGACGCTCGACATCTGATCAAAAGATTGCACAAGATCGAACCCATAACGCTCTTGCATCATAAAAACCCATGTCTCATTCCTTGAATACGTCAAAATTCTAGCAGCAAGATTCTCTACTCATTAGTGATAAGATTAGATGTGGGTACCATATGAATCACCCCAGTAGCAAATCTGGGTCGCTACTCTCGCGAAGACTACAATAATATCCGCTTAATACGTCTGGCGTAAGGTGTGACATATCCAAAACGACGACCCAATCGATCGACTGAGACTTTAGTCGGGTGGTAACTTAGTAAATCGACTAATTATTTTCTTAATTCGTCAACTCATCAACCCTTATCAATTCTTCAACTAGGTTACGAAGTTGTTAACAATCCTTAGTGTTGTGATCATGATCCTTGTGATATACACAGTATCTGTTGTGATCGTGGGCGTGAATTCTCACCTTCAAGATATTTATTTTGAATGACCTCCATGATCTTGGTCATCGAGACTCTTAAAAGTGTCACTGTAGTAGGTGGAAGTCGGGATTGTTCTCGATTCCTCTCCAATCTTCCTCCAACCAACTTCCTATTGGCATCACCATGCTTCTGCCGAAAACATTTATCAGTAGCATTCCAATAGCAGTTCTTCGCATTTTGGTGATTGTCGTGAGGCTTGCTAAAAAACTTCTCCCTAAACTAATGTTGTTGGAAGGAACCAGAATGGGAGTTGGTACTCAGGAGACATGTGATTAAGCACGTGCTCGAGGAGCTTTGATAAAGTCTTTGGCTTCTGCAAGCCAAACACATACTGGAACGGCTCCTTTTGGAGGCCTTGTGCTAGGGCGACGACAAGTTCTAGATCATGGATACTAGCATTTCCCATCGGAAGTTAGTAACGAAGCTTTTGAGACTCTTTGTAGGTTCTTAGAAAATTTTTTATGACTTGAGAGTTCTTTGGTGGCTTTTGTGTGTTGGCAAATTGAGCCACGAACATGTGCTTGAACTCTCTAAATGAAGTGATGTCTGCTACCAACAAGTTATTGAACCAGTGTAAAATTGATTCTTTCAACTTCATGAGGAATAAATGATACTTTAAATCATTTATTTTGAGTAGACAGATTGCTGACTCAAATGAAGCCAGATGGTTGATGGGGTCTAGCCTCTCTTTGTAAGATTCCAAAGACGAAATCTTAAACTTTCTCGGTGTCTCAGCTTCTGTGATCTCCCTTGAGAATTTTTCTTCTATGGTCTTTGTCTTCTTCTTCTTCTTATGGTTTCTTCATCCGTATACTCAAGTGTGAGTCTTTGCCTTCTTCTTTCCTCTACATATGAGGCTTTAGATGGTTCCCCTTCTTCTAAGCATTCAGGGTCGTCTCTTTTCGCTTCTTCTTGCTCGAATATTGGACCAAGAGCTCTCTTAGGTCCGATTCTCATTAAGTTTTGCCTAAGAGGCTCTTGCCTCAATGGCTCTTGTCTTGGTGGCTTTTGTCTCGATGACCCTTGCCTTCGAGCCACTAATCCTGACGATTGGGTTTGGTTTGTGAACAAAATTTGGAAGCCTCTCTTATATCTTGCACGACCTTCCGAACTTTTTTCCTTAGTTCATTGATTTGTTTCATCTCGAACTACCTGGTGCAATCCATTGTTTTCCTTCATCTTTCTTTATGTGGGAAAGATCTTCTTGCAGAATTTGAGTATAAGCTTCACGCTCTCCACGCTATTCAGGATGTTGAATCTTTTTTGGACATAGAGTATTGTGTCACTTGTGAATACATACAACTAAGTAAAGTCCTTATCTCTGTGGAAAAGAGGTAGAAGAGAGAGATGGATATGAGGCGTGAGAGGTCCCAGGGATTGTGTATTGAACTTGAACCTTCGGTAAGCCGAAAAAAATGGCTTAGGGCAGGTTTTTGGAATTGTGGTGTTTTAGAGAGAGAGAGACTCCGAGAAAAGATTTAAGATCCTCTTTCTCCCATTTTGACTTTCCTTTTATACAAAAAGGAAAAATAATATAAATTTCAGTTATTACAGTATGACACCCATCCATGTTGTCTTTATGTAAGATCGTGATGTGGATGTCAGGTAACGCTTTTAAAGAATGATGGAGTTGCGTCATTGCTAGTAATGATAACCATCTATAGTAGTTGCCCCTCCCTATGTAGGCTAGATTACCTCCATGGAAGAGATGAAATTAAGCCATTTTGCATGAAGTTTGTATATTAAATATATAAATATATAAAAATTGTATTGTAAGTATATAACGATTTGAATGTTTTACTCTTGCTCTTCTCCTTGCTCCTTGAAATTCTATGTGTAGCCCTAGCCCTCCTTTCAGTCTAATAACAAAGTAGAATATTTGCTTTGATGTAGAATCTATTGTGGACTAATCTTAAGAAAATAATATTCTATTATCTTAGCTTTTTCTAAATGATTATGACATCAATCATAGTTAAGTTTATTTAGGTTCAAACTTGAAGGGTCCTTTAAATAGAATGTTAATGGAGCTATCAATATCAATCAGGATACTACTGATCTGGATGTCTGATGGTGCTTTTATAGAAGGATGGATTTGCATCCATGTTAGTAATGATGATCATCTATAGTAGTTGTCCTTCCCAAAGTAGGCTAGGCCACCTCCTTGAAAGAGATGAAATTCGGTCACTTCGATAAGTAGTTTCAGTTCAGTCACTTTGGCAGGTGGGCTCAGTTCACCCACTTTGATAGGTGAGCTCATTTGGTGTATTAGTTTCCGTTGTTGGAATACACATAGAAAGCCTATACATTTATTTTGTATCACCCAATTCTCATGTATTTACATATCTATCAAAATTTTCATATGTACATTTATAACACTTTTGTGTCTTAAAATTAACTATAATATTCAAAACTATTTTAGCTTCTTATAAATGCTTATGGCATCAATCATAGTTAAGTTCATTCAGGCTCGTGCTCTGAATCTTATTCATATTAGGGTTATTTTAGGTTCTTGAAGGTTTCTCAGTTATCTTTTCTCTTTATTTATTTATTTATTTCATGTTTTATGTTTATGGAGCGCAAAGTTTCAGCCAAAATTTATAAGATGGTTGAATCATGAAAATTATTATATCGATCATTGTGATCGCTAAGATGAAATTGACTCAATGAACTTCTTCCTTGCTAGCTGAAAAAATAATGAAAGGTCAACATAAGTTTCTCTCTAAAAGATGGGCTCGGTTAATTCTCTTTTTTTTTTTTAATTTTTAACAGATTTTGCCTTGAAAGATGGGCACTTACTATAAATAAACGAGGAAAATGTTGAGATTCTTATTAGTTTTGACAGAGCTTTTCTTACAATCAGTAGGGCGAGTATTATTTCTAATTATAGCTCATTGACTTTGTAACTGATTTCTTATTTGTAACATCACTTCTTCTATAGATAGCTTCTTCTCCTTAAATTATGGATTAGCCTAAATAATTTTGAGCAACTCGTATTGCATTTTTTAAAAAATAATAATAGAAGCATTGGAGCATAATCGGCCATACAAAAAGGTCAATAGAAGGTTGTGTTGCTGGCAATGCGTAAAAAAAACAGTATTATTTTATTTACTGCGACAAATTATATTATTAATTAAGAAAAAGATAGGATCTTATGGGGCATGTTATATTATATTGATAAGTCTATTATAAAACAAGAAGAGAATGCTCCATATATAGGCTGTAAACTTTAAAGGTGCATTAACATACATGCCATGTTAGCCCTCAATTATTTTATATTTACATATATCATTTTCTACAATTATACAGCCCAACTCCTTCATATTGCGCCAAAAATATCACTATTTTAACTTCTAATAAATAAAATGCATATTTTCATGCATGAATATAAAATGAAAGTTTTAAGGGTTAGATATGTAAATATACAAGAGTTAAGTGGTATGTATGTAAATTTTCCTTAAATTTATTAAAATGATTAAGATGGCAGCCAAACTTAACTTGTTCTTCTACGGACCACCAACAACTTTACATCATTTTTAAAACATGAAGCAATGTATAACAAAGTACAATAATGGGGTGCTTAAATTAAAATATCAAAATATTATTATCTCAAAATGTCAGAAAAAATATGTTGCTGGTTTTGGTTTTCTGAGTGACTTATTGTTACTCAAGCAGGCTGTCAGTGAGCTCCTCCGACTCCAATCTTCCAGCTTTAACCTCCTCGTTCTTCCCCCACAGTACAGTATAAAGCCCCGCCATTATTAGGATGAATCCTATAAGCCTGCATTTGTGAAAATTTATGAAAAAAATTTACTAACTTTATGACACTAAAGTATGATAATAAGTAAAATATGAAACTTTATGCGGTAGAAACGTAAATAAAGAAAAAGAAATGTTGTATGCGCACACACCCTCCAGAGTAGAGTCGATCTCCGAGGATAATGGCTGAGAGAAGGGCGACTAATACAGTTTGTGAAGGTTGGAAGACGGCAACGAATAATGGGCCTGCTCTATCAATGCACCAAGTCTGAAGTGAAAAGGTGATCCCTGAACCCACCAGCCCCTGAAATATCGGTTATTGCAATAACCACATTATTCTCATTTCGGTCCCTATGAACTCTGCATTTGCATCCCTTTGTACACCCACAGCTTAGGCTAGAAAATTTGTTATGTTTGTATAACAATGTACAATAATTAATGTTGTACATGAAATCTGAATGCATAAAAAATTCATGTATAGTATTATCTCCTCATATCAACATCTAGTTGCTCTTGAGATGTGAGCCACAGAAAAATCAAAATTCATACAGACTAAATTTAAAAACAACTATATATATATATATATATATATATGCCAAAATAATTAAAAAGATAATAATAATACATGATCAGATGAGGTGTTAATCAGATTTTGTCTGATCTGCAACTTGAGAAAAGCTAGAAAAAATTGTGATAAGGCTGCCACCATGTGAATGTTAAAGAAATTAAAAAACTTACGGCATAAAGAACAGAGAGGAGCTCTTGTCCTGAATGTATCTTCCACCTCTCTACGTCCCTCTCACTGAATGCTGCTACTATCATAAACTGTATCACTCCAAAAAGGCATGTGAGCGTTGTCACCGAGAGCCTTGCCGGGTAATGCCTCAGAACTGGTACCTGAGCAATTAATCAATATATTATTTATAAGCCATCTGATTAATTAATCTTTGCAGGAAATAATGAACAAACACCTGGAAGACCATCCAGGCGGACCAAGCAGTGCAGTTGAGCAGAATATAGCAGCAGCCTAAAGTCCAGTTCACTATCCTGCCGGAGTAGACATTAGTGAGGTCATGTGACTGTTCTTGAAGAAGAGGAGGACCCTTATACAGCGTTATGATTGTCGCTCCACCAATACAAACCACAGTTCCCAACACCTTCGCTATTCCATATCTCTCCTTAATATTCAGCTTCTCAACCCTGCATCAGTTAGCAGTCAATTTCAAGTTGCGTGTTTTCATTCTTGTTTTTTAAAATTTTTTCAGATAAAAAATTGTGTTTTTATCCTTTTGAAAGAAAAAAAATGATTTTTATAATTTTTACCTAAACTTTCTAAAAAAAATGTTACTTTCCCACCATAACTTTACACCTACTTTATAAAGATTGAGAAGGGATGCTATATACCATGATATATATCCGTGAATGAATTTGACATAGATATTTTTATCATATGTACAGGTATGCATGTTCACCTTAAGGCTGCGGCAATTACGAAAGTGATGGCAGGTGTTGAATTCTGTATTGCTGATACATAGGTTGGAGACAAGTAGTACAAGCCCAGTATGTAACATCCTTGGTTAGCTGCAATTCTGCAAAGCCCCGGCCCCTCAATGATCATATATATTTTATGCATATAATGTAAATATTGCTGAGTTGCTTACCCACAAAGCGCGAGAAGAAATATCTCAGTCAGGATAGAGAAGGTGAGTGGCGGCCTGTCCTTCCTGAAGAGAATTAATGGATCCAAAACAAAAAAAGAAAAAAAATTGAGTAAAAGTTGAGAACTTTAAGCTCCCCATGCATGATGCAGCCATGGCTGAGAGGCTTACTTCTCCAGAAAATAGGCGAATGGAGCAAGCAAGAGTACAGCAATGATGTTTCTGTAGACGAGGAGCAGCAGTTTGCTTATGCCTATATTTAGAGCCACTCTTGACACTATGTGAGTACTTGCGTAGCACAGATGGAGCAAAAATACGGCTGTGAGAATTTTCAGCTTATCAGAAATTTGAGACTCTCTTCCCATCTTTGTTTGGTTTGTTTTTTTTTTGTGTCACTCTTTATTCTCCTCGCCCTCAAGAGTTTGGCTTTGTTACTTCATTCAATTGAGAAGAGATAAGCGCTTACATATATGGGCTGATCAAGATTATAATATTGTATTGTAATTTGACCAGATGTAACACCCTATATCAGGGTTGGAGGCTAACTAGGTGTTGGCCATCCAAATCAAGGACAATGGCTAATCAAGCCGAGCAAAGGCATCAATCTGCTTATCGCCACAACCAGACTCAAGAGAATAGTTCAATATCGCTAGAAATCTCATGGACTGCTCTAAGATTTCTCATCAGGGGCTAAGAATTGGCAATAACATATATAACCCATGAATATCCTAGAAGATTAATTTACCCATCAAGGAAAGAGCTATCTATCATATTACAGTGATTCGCCTTCAACCCGATAGTCTTATCCAGTAATCAATAGTTAGTATCCAGACTAGAATAGCCAACCTACAAAGCCAAGCCGATCGAGTCAAATATTGTCGACCTGAAGACATCAAAGGCCGGCCGGAAACCTCGATTGAGCACAGTCAGGCCAAGACCCGATGATTTCAACCAACCGAGTCAAAGGTTGGCCAAGTCATAGACTTGTATATATATATGTAAAATGTCTAAAATATCCTATAACATCCCCATTAAAGCAGAGATAAAAATACAATTTCGTATATTGTACCCCTCATTTTATGAGAAATGATTAATCAGCAAATCATATTACTAGTAATTATATATTGTGCATCTCCCCCTCCTCCCTCCTATCTCACTCAGGCTTCATTCCTTGGGTGTTAATCATAGACAAATCAAAATTCAACATATGTATATGCCAATGCAAATTCATAGTCATGATATTCGCAAAATTAAAGCTCGCAGGGATTGTTATAAAAAAAATGAAAAGTTTAGGGCGGGAAGGAGGTCTTAATCAAAATTTTAATCTGAATATGCTTCAAATTAAAACCCTTCAATTTGTTTTGATAGTGGTCTAAAATTAATTAATTCTCTTGTATATATTACCCTGATCTCAAAATAGATACAAAGAATCTTAGTATTGAATATATATATATATATATATAATATATATATATATATATATATATATATATATATATATCAGAAAACAAATTTAATTAGAAAAATCAATATCTTTGTTTCGATTCAGCTTGCATTCGGTTTGATTTTTTATCCAATTGATCAATTTTGTTTTACTCGACTATCAAAATCAAACTATTTTAACCTTCTTTGAGTTTAAATTAAATGTAACCCAACACAAACTACCAATATAAATTTCGAATATTTACATGCATACCACTCTATTTACTTTTATTTACATATCTAACACTAAAACTTCAATTTTTACTCATGCCATCTTACTTACGCACCATGAAATCATGGAAAAGAGCATTTCACTTTTAAATTTCAAAATAATTGTATTTTTTAGATGATATAAAAGATTTGTGTGGTATAAATGTAAAAAATAGAGTTTAGATGTGAGATCTAAATACATAGTAATTGGAGGTTCTGTATGTAAATGCCCATTTTTAACTTATTGTATTATAGTATATATAAGAGAACGTGCTGTATACGACAGTCTTGCAGTTTTATATACTAAAGATAATGAAATTTATATAAGACAATATCTATCCTTATCGCTTCATGGAAATTGTAAATCTCTTTTTATATGCTATTATTGAATTGAAGGTGAAGGTGAAGGTGAAGGTGACTAGAAGGCTTTTAAAAATAGCACATATAATTATATAAAATAGCACATATTACTGTTTGTGTCGTGTATCTCGGCCTGTTGGTTGACATCCTTACTATAAGACCTCTTAGGTCGGGGGTTTGAATTCCCTATGTCGAAGTTGGCCTTAAGAAGACGGTATTCAAATTGATAGACACATTAGATGTGGCCGAAAACTCATATAATAGCCTTTGGCCATTTCTTAAATATATATACTAGGTTTAATTATGGCTAATTAATTTTATAAATTGCTTGTTATATATGCAACTAAAAATTAATTGCTATTGGTTGACACCTTTATATTGCTCGACAATATACATTTTTTTAGTTAGTTTTTGCATTTTATAAATATTTTTTTTGGTCAAGCACTTGTTATTTACAAATCAACCACCCTCTTTCATCCAATTTTCAAATTCTCACTCAAATAACCCATATTTTTCATTTTTATCTAAATATTAAAAAAAATCACCCGAATGATTAATTTTTAAATATTAATGTTTCTATTTTACTTAATTTGAACAAAAAAAAATCAAAAAATATGAAGAATTAAGACTTGAAAGTTTATTTTGAAACCCTCCAATTAGATGAAGTTAATATGAAATAATTTCCCTTAGTGATATTTTTATAATAATTCTGAGTTTAGAATATATTCATATAAAATATAATAAAACTAGAAATTAGGACTATTAAAATTTCCATTGGTCTTAAGATGGGGCCTAAATGCCAATGCAATAGGTAAGAGTTGTTATGAATAGAACTAGTCAACTCAAGTCAATCCATAAGGTGGACCAACTTGATCAGTATCTCACATATGTGTTATGTGTTATAAGTTAAAGCTCTTGCTTATAATAATTTAAATTATAATTTAATGAAATTTGAATTTTCAAAAATTTTTAATAAATATTATGTTCAATTTTTAATTAAGGATTTTAAAATATCTAAAATTTTGATTTTTAAAAATTAACATCAAAGAGTATAAATATTTTGAAATTGGTTGCTTAATTTCAAGATCAATGATCAACCCTTTTTTTTTTGATTTATTCAATAATTATAAAAAAAAGGTTTCAAATTAAATGTCTTAAATTATTTCAAATTTATCACAATGATTGAGAATGTCACTCACACTTAGAATTCTATTCAAGTACATACATAAAATAAGTAAAACATAAATAATGAATAGTGAATTATTATACTTACACCCTAAAGACTATTTATAAAGCTTTATCACTATTCTTTTGAATTAAAGAAGATGGGATTATTAATTCACTATCCATTATCAGCTTTATAATTCCATATTCTTTAATTCAAAAAAATTTAGAAGTAGTATACTTACAGTTATACAGTGAATTACTTTGATTGGGCTATGCTCCATGATTTTTCCCGTTCTAGAGTTTGTGAAAATTCTAATGTATCATTCTGCTAATGTTCTTTTATTTGTTTGTGCAATAAATTTTTATATAACGCTAAGACATTAAAATACTATTATATTATTGTGAATTTTATGGCACGCAACAAAGCTTATGTTTGAAAACTAAAAAAATTACCATATAATTTAACCTATTTGACAAATATATAAAATCATGACGTGTTTGAGATAGTTGTGGCTATTTAAAATCTTAAATCAAAAATTGACATGAAAAATCCTTTTTTTTTAAATAAAGTTTAGAGCATGTTCTAAGTTGATATTAAATCATCAATAAAAGATGGTGTCAATAAAAATGTTAAAGCTCTTGACGAATGTCCAAATAAAAGCAGCAAGGCCATGTAATTTTAAAGAAAATGAAATGTACCTTTTCATAAATACATTAAAGCTATTGTAATATAAAAATCAAAATTTGTGCGTCAGATATGTAAATACATATGAATTGTGTGGCATGTATGTAAATCTTCCTTTATTTTTATTTTTTTTTAATAATGCTGAAGCACAATTAACCTCGTGACTTTATACTGAAATGTTTTGTTGAATCGATGTCGGTATAGACTAAATAAATATGATAAGATATTCTAATTTGAGATTTACATGTTTCACACTAAGTCCCACTTGCACACAGCCAAATTAAAGGTAGCTTGAATTTTTTTATAACACAAATAATATAGAGGATCATTCCCTTTCACAAGAAGAGGCAGTTTCAGAAAATATGAAGAAATAAAGCACCAACAGAAGGATTGAAGGAACCACAAAAAAGGAAAATTACATGCCTACCACATAATTCTGATGCATTAACATATCCAACACCAAAAGCTTACATCTATAACACTCGTGTTATAAACCTATCCATGCATGAAAGTATGTAATACAGTGATATTTTTTATGTGATATTAAGGATTTGGGAGTTATACATGTAAATACATAAATAAAAAGATCTTGAACTCAGCATTCTCTGGGCAGCAGTAGAACTTTATTGAAGGGCCACATAATTCAGAAAAAAGAAATATAAAAGCGTTCATGAAAAGCCTTTAGAAAAAACAAACTGTTTGTTAATCTTAATAGGTGTAACCTTTCTGGAACATCCCCTTCTTAGCTTCCTCCTCTTCACCATCAGCAGAGTAGCGACCGAGTTGGGCCAAGGAGTTCGCCTTTGCGCGGATCAAAAGAGCCTTCTGAGCGGCATCCGCGTTCTCCGGCAGGCCTTTCCAGGTCTTGAGAACAGTATTCTGGAGAGCTCGGGCATAGGAGAAAGACACGTGCCATGGGTTGGCCGATTGGTTCATCGCATTTAGGTTCAGAGTCGCTTCAACTTCAGACTGCCCTCCTGAAAGGAACTGTAAAAACATCCATTTTATAGTTAGTGCAGAAAGCTGACTTCTTCACTGTTAGTAGTAATTTGAATAGCGAACAACTAATTTGGAAATCAACTCATGTGATTTGTATATTCGTGTACTGCCCTTTGATTTTTGTAGGTTACTGAGTTTCTAATGTTATGATTTTTCATATATACCTTTTAGAGTTCTAGGATTGATTGAATATGTACTATAAAAAAAGTATGGGCATGGATTCTTTGGAGGAGGAATATGTACTAGAAAAAAAGTACGGGGCATGCATTCTTTGGAGGGTCATGGGTGTTGGGTAATGTGGAGACCCGATCCACCACAATTTAATTAACTTCCTAATTAAGAATCTCACCTACCGCTCATCTATCTTCCCATGTACCGCTCACCTACCACATCTTACTAATCGCTCACCTACCTCCCTACCGCTCTCCTGGTTTCTATAAATAGTCTCTTTTGGCTTAAAGGTGTAGTAAGGGTCAAGTCAAGTCCTCTAAGAGAAAAAAAGATGAAGAGAGAGAGAGAAGGGAGAGAAGAAAATACTGATTTTCTTGTAAACGTAGAGACGCTCGACGGTGTAATTTCTTGAAGAAATAAAATCCCCTGCAGCTTCGTGGACAAAGGCAAATTTTTTGAACCACGTAAATCTGTCGCTTAGATGTTCTTTTTTCTGTGCGCAATTTTTCTTGTTTCATTTTTCATTTTATTATCGTTGTTTTTCACAACTGGTATCAGAGTCGTGGTTTTGAATCTAAGGAAGAACGATAACCGGAGACGAAATAAAGATTTCGGGGATCGAGAAGTTCAATGACGCAGATTTTGCTTATTGGAGGATGCAGATAGATAACTACCTCTATGGGAAGAAACTTCATTTTCTGTTACTAGGAAAGTGACCAGAAAAGATGGACGAGGCGGAATGGAATTTGTTGGATCGACAGGTTCTGGGGATTATACGATTAACCCTGTCGAGATCGGTTGCCCACAATGTCATCAAAGTGAGGACTACTGCAGCTCTCATGACAGCTTTATCAGGTATGTATAAAAAATCATCGATAAATAATAAGGTGCGTCTAATAAAAAAGCTATTCAACTTGAAGATAGCGGAATGTGTGTCCGTTGCTCAACACCTGAATGGTTTCAATACTATCATAAATTAATTGTCGTTTGTTGAAATTGATTTTGATGAGATGTGTGCGTTTATATTGTTGGTTTTATTGTCAAATAGCTGAGAAACCATAAGGATGACAGTTAGCAATTCTGCAGGTAAATCTAAACTGACATATGATGATATTTGTGATTTGATTTTAGCTGAAGAGGTGCGGAGGAAAGATTCTAGTGAGACCTCGGGTTCGAGTTTGACACTAATTGTTGATTCCAGAAGAAGATCACAAGACACAAACTCAAACAGAGGAAGATCAAAATCAAAATCTGGTCAGCAAGCAACCTGCTGGAATTGTGGCAAAGTTGACCACATAAAAATGATCTGCAGGAATCATAAGAAGGAGAATGATATCACTAATGTTGTAACTGAAGAAATACAGGATGTGTTATTGTTGTGAGTTTACAGTTCTGTTGATGAATGGATACTGGATTCAAGGGCTTCCTTCCACACATCTTCCCATCGGGAGTTGATGTGAAACTATGTTGCAGATGACTTTGGGAAGATACATCTGGCTGGTGGAAAAGCTCTGAGTGAGGTGGAGATGGAAGACATTGATATTATACTCCCTAATAAGAGCAAATGGACTTTAAAAAAGGTTAGGCACCTTCCTAAGTTGAAGAAAAACATCATCTCTGTTGGGCAGTTCAATGAGGGTGTTCATTCGGTAGTGTTCTCAGATAGCACTTGGAAGATTACCAAAAGAGCATTAGTACTGGCTCGGGGTAAGAAAACTGACACACTATATATAAATACAAGTTTACTCCGGCATGGACACATGAGTCAGAGGTGCATTATGGGGAAGCAGGGGAAGCGCATTATGGGGAAGCAGAAGAAGGTCAATTTCTTGAAATTTGGTAGAGCGGCAAAAGCAAAAAAATCGGACCCTGTACAGACAAATGGTGGAGAATCACAGAGCTATTAAAAAATCTTGCAAGATGAGAATTCGAGCAAGTGGGAGATGACCAAGAAGAAGGAGACAGATTCTCTATCAGAGAATCAGACTTGGGAGCTGACAGAACTTCCACCAGGAAAGAAGGCATTGCACAACAAGTGGGTGTACCAGCTGAAAACTGCGCTTAATGGCAGTAAGAGGTACAAAGCTGAACTTGTTGAAAAGGGCTTTCAACTGAGGAATGATATTACCCATGCAATGAGAGTTGTTAGCAAATACAAGAGTAACCCAAGAAAGAGCTTGGAGGTACAAAGTCATGTTAATGTTGATATATCGACTAAGGGTGTTACTCTTGAGAAGTTGAAGTTGTGCTCGACTTCAGCTGGTCTTCTGGCATTAAGACATAGGTTTTTAGTTACAGAGGTGGAGGATATCATGTTTGAGGAAAAGGTCGGTACAGTTAATAGATAATCCAGCCAATAGGTGATGCAGCCAGTGTCCCAGTCTCCAAGTGGTAAAACTGTTGGGTAATGTGGAGACCCGATCCACCGCAATTTAATTAGCTTCATAATTAAAAATCTCACATATCGCTCACCTAACACATCTCACTTACAGCTCACCTATCTCTCACCTACCACTTTCCTGATTTCTATAAATAACATCTTTTGACTTAAAGGTGTAGTAAGGGCTAAGCCAAGTCCTCTAAGAGAGAAGAGAGGAAGAGAGATAGGAAGACAAAGAAGAAAATAGAGATTTCTTGTAAACGTCGAGGCGTTCGACAATGTAATTCCTCGAAGAAAAAAAATCCTCTGCAGCTCCGTGAACATAGGCAAAGTTGTCGAACCACGTAAATCTGTGTGTCGCATTGGTGTTTTTTTTTTTTGGTGCAATTTTTCTCGTTTCATTTTTCGCTTTATTATCGTCATTTTTCACAACAATGGGTTCTTCGGAGCCAGCAACGACAGCCAAAAAGTTGTCCCAAACAAGCCCGTAACTTTGATAATTTTATATATTCCAACTAATATGGCCTTCCATAAATAGTCAGGGGACTATTTAAGCATTTTACTCATTCTTCTCACATAAATTTGATGAGATTGGTAATGTTTTTGATGAAAACCTGCATTGCCCTATCCATCACAAAGCACAAATCCCCAGAAAGCTCATCATGATTGTAGTGTTTGAGAAAATTGAGAGGATGGGACCATCCAAATTGAACTGCAAACATCACTTCAATAAAATTATAACAAAATCATACAGATCGGTGGAGTTCTCGCAGCGGATGGCATAGTAATTCTGATAGAAGAAATGAAATAACAACATGTTACAATGTTTCTCAGGAATGAAAGAGATATTTCATATATTGATTTACCTTATTTCTTTCATTAGGTTCAATTCCCATCGGCAAAAAATTAAATTTTTAACATACTCAGAGGCGCGTTGATTTCCCCTCGGCAAAAGTTTAGCAAAACTAATGTTTTGTCTGCAAAAAAAGGGGTGCATTGTAATTGCAATGCATGAGCTTCAAGAATTTGTGTTTGGTTCGATAAAGTTTGAAAGCGATGAAAACTATCACCGAATTTTGAATATACATTTTATAGATCATTTTCTATGTATGTGGAATTTGGCTGATTTGGCTGATTTTCAAATTCAAAATACAATGTAAAGTGCTCCCCCCAAATGTGGGCAACCTCAACCGCCCTCTGTCGCCAGCCGCCAGCCACCTACCGTTGCTGGCCACCACCGCTGACACCGGCTACCGCAGTTACCAGTCCGTTGTCGCCATCAGCCACCGCCGCCACCCTCTAATACCTATCGTCGTTGCCATTTTTATCTGTTGCCTCCATTGCCACCGCCCGTCAGCCGCCTCCATCGCCGCCCAACATAGTACTTCTTGAAATACATTGTTTTCATTTTACTTCAAACCAAACAATAAAAGATAATCGTTCGTTTATTTTATATTGAGCAAAACAACTCTAAAGTATTTCAGATGCAATACATTACTCCCCATTGCATCCTTTTTTTTTTAAGACCAAACAGCCCCTAAATAAGATATTAAAGCAAATTCATGCTCAACCTCACACAAATTGTGACTAAACATAAAATTGTAGTATCACCATTTATCTTCGAGACCAATACCTCGGAAATAATCATGAGGAAAAAAAAAAGTCAGCTAGTGCAACCTCATATTTTGAATTTTTATTCAAATAAAGAAAATAAAAGTTCAATGCATCTCTCCTTGACTGAACAAGCATGACCATCTCGATGGCTGGTGGTTATCCAGATAAAACTAACAAGCATCACCATCCAAAAAGCTTCGTAACTCACTTATGGTTGATGTTTTGCTTTTTATTATTTTGCTCTGTTACGCATTCATCATTTTGTGTCATTTAGATTTCAAGTTCATAACATTTGAGATTATTAGGTATTTCTTGAAATCAGATGGCCTAGTTATTTAGCCCTTGACCCTTTTTAATATAGCAACTTCATGTCCTTATAAATGATGATAAATTTTCTAATCTCTCCACAAGCTTCTTCCCTCCTACCTACCTCCTTCCCTCACCCCCTCCCTTATCCTTCGACAGTCCTTCATAAAGAAGAGGGTGAGGGTTGATGCGCCTTAAGTAGTTTAGCCGAGTTACTTTCTAAAAATACCTATAGATCCTAAATGACAAGGACACCTCATATGAATGTCACAATGTAGAGAATAAATAATGGCTCAAAACAAAAGAAACATAATACCAACCATCAAGGAAAGTATAGAAAAGTGTCGAATGTCAATTCCTGTGAGCATAGTCTACATCACAAAGTCTGTGGACATTGATTCCTTCATTTGCCACATCCATCACTTCAATCTAAGTAACTTTGATGTTGCATCAACCTTTCCCAAAAAAGGAAATGTAATACATAGAAAACTTATTATTTGCATCCTATGATGCAACC